ATTAGATTTTCCCCCGGCCCCTCGAGAAGCTGTAACCAAACAGATTCAGTGGTTTGACGCTTCTAATTTAATATCTTGTCTAACACAACAATTTAAATTGTCTCTGACATACATCGTTTACTCCACCACCTTTCCTGTTGACCCTGTCAGTGTGGAATAATTTATAGCCCGTATGTGACATTCAGAGGGCATCTCTCTCTTTTCAATTGAGCCAGGTCTCTGTTATAGCAATAATATCTAAAGTTTCCTGCACTTGCAATTAATCTTGCTCATCTCTCTTATTTCTTACCTCCTGCTATTAGTAAAAGTAAACCTTAAGGGACTAGTCCCTTGCTGCCCTCTGCTGTCCCCCTTTGTTTGTGAGACCTGATCTATTGTCTTTATTAAAAACTTCATGCTGAATGCCTTTTATACATTTACTGTTTTCCAACCCTAGTGTTGCAACCTGCTTGTTTCCCACACACACCATACCTCTATCTTCATCAGTTTAACAACTCATAGGCATTTCACCAATGGCCTTTCTTCAATCGGTCTGCAAGAGCTACCACCTGCCCAGAGCGATGTACCCCATCCCTTGCAGACATATCATGTTTGCATAACAGTTGTTCCAGTTGTCAATAATGGGATTGCAAGTTCTTGGCCGTATCTGTCTAGCCAGCAATTTACACCAATTGCACTGCACAAACATCATTTCCTAATCACCTTTCTAAGGCAAGATGCTACATATGATGTGGATCCCTCCCTTAGTCTTAATGAAATCTATAGCTGACTTACTTATCTAGAAGCTCTTCTCTCCTACCTTCCAATTCATTTCACCAGCACTGAGACAGATAAAGGCTTGTTCACATTACCTGACATGATTTATCCAGCCTGTTGACAATGTCCCCCAACACAGCTCCTGGGAAGCCACTCTATCTCTAATCTTCTTATCCTATTACAAAAAGCACCGGTCAATATATCTTACTGAGAGTCACCAACCACCAAGAATGCGATTACCTCCATTAGCAGGGGCAGTAGTCCCTTACTTCACTGGCCCACTGGAAGTACATTCATCCTGAAGAACAGGAAGCGATTTCCTACCTTCAAGATCTTCACTTTAACTTTCCTTACTCTGACTGCGCCTCCATTACTGTGAACCACTCGCCACTTGGTAGCAGGTGCTGGGCTGCACCTCACTGCTGGAAGCCGTTGCTTACATCCCCAACTACAGCCTCCTCACAGCGAGAGACAGACGCACTCACTGCTGGAAGCCTCATTCCCCACAACTCCAACCATCCACACTCTCTCCCAGACCATTGGAGGTGACCTTCCCGCTCCTAACTCCTCCTGGAGAAAATCTAGGACCTCCTCCTTCAAAAAAAAATTCTCTCCAACCTAATTTTTAAACACTAGCAGAAGCAAGCCATGCTTTGTAACCGCTCCACCGCTAATCCCCAAAAAAAAAAGGCTACAAGGGGGGCTCAGGTCTGTGACCTCACGTGTGTGACACACACGCACACACACCACACACACACACACACTCCACACACCACACACACACCACACACACCCTCACACACACACACACACACACACACACACACACTCACAAAAAATGTGGGGTTATCAAGAAATGGAAGGTAAGGACGAGAATTGGAGAAAGGGATTACATAGTAGGTACAGTTCAGGCAGGGGAACACCAAGGTAAGTCATTGCAGTGATGTTATAACCCACCACAGAACTGCAGGAGGCCAAGAGAGGAATATGATGAGTGCAAAAGAGCAATGGTGGACCCACTAGCTGAGGTGGCAAGAAGGGCTCAATAGAGTAGAGGCGAAGTTACTGGTCATGGGCGGCTTCAATCACAGGAAGATTGATTGGGAAAACTGGAACACACTGGGGTCCCGAAACATGGGAAGCCAAGATGTTGGATGTGGTGGGGCGAAACTCTCATGCACCAAACATGTTAGGGACACTACCAGAGAGAGAGGAGGGGAGGATGAACCAGAAGACTGTGTTCACCCTGAGTAGCTCAGACCATTGAGCATATCACTCATATGAACGGCCCTTGGAATTGTGACCACGTGGTTCTGAGCTTTGAATACATCTTGGAGCTAAAAGTGGAGAGGGTAACAGGAGTAGGAAAGGAAGTGCCAAACTATAAAAGGGTGGACACACAGGATAAGGACTTCCTGCAGGAGGTTCAGTGGGAACAGGAGTTGGTAGGCAAATCGGTAAACGAAATGGCTGGACTTCATAACACAAAATACAAGGAGGCAAAGGAGGAAAGGTTTGTTCCCCAGGGCAACAGAAATAATGGGAAGGACAGAAACGAAACCCCTGGTTTACCGAAGTGTAGGGAGACATAAACTAAGTGTTCTAGAGAATAGAAAAAAGTACAGAAGGCAAAGGATCAGAAAAATAAAGATATTAGTCGACGAGCCAGAAACGAAGTATGCACTGATAAGGAGGGAGGCGCAGGGGCAGTATGAAACCAACATAGCATCGAAGTCAAGTCTGACCCGAAATGCTTTCACAGCCACATCAGGATGAGACAACAGTGAAGACCTGGGAATCAGGCTGGGAAAGAAGGTTGGGGAGCTTCACAAAAAAAAGACCCAGAAGTATGTGAGGAGCTCAACATGAGATTTCAGGAAGTAATTTCAGTGAAGCCTGAAGGGGGACACTGGGAAAGACATAACAGTGAGGTACACCAACAAGGATATACCAACAAGTGTTGGATGAATTACACACAAATGAGGAGGAGGTGGAGAAGCTCCTAAGTGACCTGATACCACAAATGCAGTGGGAACGGATATCTCTCATGGGACCTTAGGAGAGGAGCAGAGACACTATATGTGCCACTAGCCAAAATCTTAAACACTTGAAATGGACAACTTTCATGAAGTATGGAAGAAGGCAAATGTAGTCCCCATCTTTAAGAAGGAGGACCAGAATTGAAGCACTTACTATAAACCAGTGTCACTGACGTGTATAGTATGCATAGTCATGGAGAAGATTATCAGGAGGAGAGTGGTGGAGCACCTGGAGCGGAAACAAGATTATGAAAACGACAGCCAGCATGGATTCATGGAGACAAAATACTGTGTCACACCTACTAGAGTTTTATGACAAGGTAACTGAAGTAAGAAATGAGAGGGACGGGGTGGTTGATTGCATTTTCTTGGACTGCAAAAAGACCTTCGACACAATTCCACACAAGAGATTTAGTACAGAAGCTAGAGGATCAGGCACATATAACGAAGGGCACTGGCAATGGATCAGAGAATACCTAACAGGGAGGCAACAGTGAGGTCATGGTCTGTGACGAGGTTCAAGTGGGCGCCTGTGACGAGCGGGGTCCCACAAGGGTCAGCTCCTGGGACCAGTGCTATCTTGGTATATGTGAAACGACATGACGGAAGGGATAGACTCAGAAGTGTCCCTGTTTGCAGATGATGTGACGTTAATAAGAAAGTAATTAAAATCAGAGCTGACCAGACAGGTCTACAAAGAACCGGACAAGCTGGATGCGAGGCCCGGGCAAAACTGGCTCCATAGAATTAACTCCGCCATGGCAAAGTCATGAGATTGGAGAAGGGAAAAGAAACCGTAACCAAGTATAGGTAGGAGGCCAAAGACTTTCAAACCTCACTTAAGGAGAAAGATTAGGATGGATAATACCGAGTACCATCGCCGAAGCACCCCATTAAACCAGATAACTGCTGAGCAAAGGGCACCTGGGCAACCTGAGAAGAGCATTCCGGTACCTCAATAAGGAAATCGTTGAATCGTCAGGCCCCAAAACTGGAGTACGCAGCACCAGTTTGGGGAACCACACGGGTCAAACACACAAAAATGATAAAATATGCAAAGGTTGCAACAAGGCTGTTTCCAGAGGCAATGGGGAAATTTGTCCTATGAAAGAAAGGTTAAGGAAAATCGACTGACGAACTGGGGAAGGACAGGAGGGTTAGGGGGACATGATAACACATTCTAAACACTGCGGGGAAATAAACAAAGGTGGACAGAGACGGGAAAGTTCCAGAGATGGGACCGAAACAAGGGGTCAAAATTGGAACTAAGACCCAAGATTAAAGGGATGTTGGGAAAGTATTTCTTCAGCTACAGATTGTAGAAGTGGATAGTCTGGAAAGTGATTATGGAGGCAGGAACTATACATAGTTAAAAAAACGAGTATGATAAAGCTCATGGGCAGGGAAGGGAGGACCCATTTGCGTCAGTGAAGAGGCGGGTCCAGAGCTGATTTCGACCCCTGCAACCACAAATAGGTGAGGTACAATTAGTGGGACACACCACACACACACACCACCATACGTGCTCCTTTTCTACGATCAATCTCATTACCTTCCTTTACCCAGCACTTGCATAACTCTCCGAGTCTGACGTTTCCCCTGGCTAAATAAATCATAATAGTAAAAAAAAGTAGCTACAGGCAGATAATCTGACGCACTTCTGCTCCTGTAGCTACAGGTAGATATTCTGACGCACTTTGCTCCTGTAGCTACAGGTAGATAATCTGACGCACTTCTGCTCCTGTAGCAAACGGGCAGATAAATCTGACGCACTTCTGCTCCTGTAGCTACAGGCAGATAATCTGACGCACTTCTGCTCCTGTAGCTACAGGCAGATAATCTGACGCACTTCTGCTCCTGCAGCTACAGGTAGATAATCTGAGCACTTCTGCACCTGTAGCTACAGGCAGAAAATTTCTGACGCACTTCTGCCCCTGTAGCTACAGGCAGATAATCTGACGCACTTCTGCACCTGTAGCTACAGGCAGATAATCTGACGCACTTCTGCTCCTGCAGCTACAGGCAGATAATCTGACGCACTTCTGCTCCTGTAGCTACAGGTAGATAATCTGACGCACTTCTGCTCCTGTAGCTACAGGTAGATAATCTGACGCACTTCTGCTCCTGCAGCTACAGGCAGATACAGTATTCAACAGTACTAAACTTTCTGCACGACTCCACCATCTGTGGGGTGGTCGTACTCACCTGCTGACCACTGTTGGTGTTAGTGCTGCAGCGTCGCTGGTCGTACTTAGTGGAGGACGACTCGCTCATCTGTCCTCGACTGTGACTTCGGAAGAAGCTGGATCGCTGCCTCTGGCTGCTCTGTGTCCCCACAGAGGCTGTGTCTCCCTGCGGCTCGTGCGCTGCGATCTGGCGGAGCTGCAGGAAATCAACACGGTGAGTGAGGTTCCTGAAGGTGAGAAGTGAGGTTGCCAGGGTACTGAAAATAATGAGGTTTTCCAAGCTGGTGAGTGAGACTAAGTGAAGGGGAGGGAGGTTAGTGAAAGTGAGGCCGTGAGGTTAGTGACTTTGAATGAGGTTAGTGAAGGTGAGTGAGGTTAGTGAAAGTGAGTGAGGTTGTGAGGTTAGTGAACTTGAGTAAGGTTAGTGAAAGGTGAGTAAGGTTAGTGAAAGTGAGTGAGGTTGTGAGGTTAGTGAACTTGAGTGAGGTAAGCGAAGGTGAGTGAGGTTAGTGAAAGTGAGTGAGGTTGTGAGGTTAGTGAACTTGAGTAGGTTAGTGAAAGGTGAGTGAGGTTAGTGAAAGTGAGTGAGGTTGTGAGGTTAGTGAACTTGAGTAAGGTTAGTGAAAGGTGAGTGAGGTTAGTGAAAGTGAGTGAGGTTGTGAGGTTAGTGAACTTGAGTAAGGTTAGTGAAGGTGAGTGAGGCTAGTGAAAGTGAGTGAGGTTGTGAGGTTAGTGAACTTGAGTGAGGTAAGCGAAGATGAGTGAGGTTAGTGAAAGCGAGTGAGGTTGTGAGGCTAGTGAACTTGAGTGAGGTTAGTGAAGGTGAGTGAGGTTAGTGAAAGTGAGTGAGGTTGAGGCTAGTGAACTTGAGTGAGGTTAGTGAAGGTGAGTGAGGGTAGTGAAAGTGAGTGAGGTTGTGAGGTTAGTGAACTTGAGTAAGGTTAGTGAAGGTAAGTGAGGTTAGTGAAAGTGAGTGAGGTTGTGAGGTTAGTGATTTAATGAAGGTAAGTGAGGTTAATGAAAGTGAGGTTGTGAGTCTAGTGGAGGTGAGGTCGTGAGGTTAGTGAATTTGAATGAGGTTAGTGAAGGTGAGTGAGGTTAGTGAAAGTGAAATGAGGTTGAGAGGGTTTGTGAATTTGAATGAGGTTAGTGAAGGTGAGTGAGGTTAGTGAAAGTGAGTGAGGTTGTTTAGGGTTTGTGAAACTTGAGTAGGTTAGTGAAAGGTGAGTGAGGTTGTGAAAGTGAGTGAGGTTGTGAGGTTAGTGAACTTGAGTAAGGTTAGTGAAAGGTGAGTAAGGTTAGTGAAAGTGAGTGAGGTTGTGAGGTTAGTGAAAAATGAGTGAGGTAAGCGAAGGTGAGTGAGGTTAGTGAAAGTGAGTGAGGTTGTGAGGTTAGTGAACTTGAGTAGGTTAGTGAAAGGTGAGTGAGGTTGTGAAAGTGAGTGAGGTTGTGAGGTTAGTGAACTTGAGTAAAGGGTTTGTGAAAGGTGAGTGAGGTTAGTGAAAGTGAGTGAGGTTGTGAGGTTAGTGAACTTGAGTAAGGTTAGTGGGAAAGGGGAGTGAGGCTAGTGAAAGTGAGTGAGTTGTGAGGTTAGTGAACTTGAGTGAGGTAAGCGAAGATGAGTGAGGTTAAATGAAGCGAGTGAGGTTGTGAGGCTAGTGAACTTGAGTGAGGTTAGTGAAGGTGAGTGGGGGTTAGTGAAAGTGAGTGAGGTTGAGGCTAGTGAACTTGAGTGAGGTAGTGAAGGTGAAATGAGGGTAGTGAAAGTGAGTGAGGTTGTGAGGTTAGTGAACTTGAGTAAGGTTAGTGAAGGTAAGTGAGGTTAGTGAAAGTGAGTGAGGTTGTGAGGTTAGTGATTTAAATGAAGTAAGTGAGGTTAATGAAAGTGAGGTTGTGAGTCTAGTGGGGGTGAGGTCGTGAGGTTAGTGAATTTGAATGAGGTTAGTGAAGGTGAGTGAGGTTAGTGAAAGTGAGTGAGGTTGAGAGGTTAGTGAATTTGAATGAGGTTAGTGAAGGTGAGTGAGGTTAGTGAAAGTGAGTGAGGTTGTGAGTTATGAACTTGAGTAGGTTAGTGAAAGGTGAGTGAGGTTAGTGAAAGGGAGTGGGGGTTGTGAGGTTAGTGAACTTGAGTAAGGTTAGTGAAAGGTGAGTGAGGTTAGTGAAAGTGAGTGAGGGGTTTTGAGGTTAGTGAACTTGAGTAAGGTTTTGAAGGTGAGTGGGCTTTGTGAAAGTGAGTGAGGTTGTGAGGTTAGTGAACTTGAGTGAGGTAAGCGAAGATGAGTGAGGTTTTGTGAAAGCGAGTGAGGTTGTGAGGCTAGTGAACTTGAGTGAGGTTAGTTTAAGGTGAGTGGGTTAGTGAAAATGAGTGAGGTTGAGGCTAGTGAACTTGAGTGAGGTTAGTGAAGGTGAGTGAGGGTAGTGAAAGTGAGTGAGGTTGTGAGGTTAGTGATTTTTAAAGAAGGTAAGTGAGGTTAATGAAAGTGAGGTTGTGAGTCTAGTGGGGGTGAGGTCGTGAGTTAGTGAATTTGAATGAGGTTAGTGAAGGTGAGTGAGGTTAGTGAAAGTGAGTGAGGTTGGAGGTTAGTGAAGATGAGTGAGGTTAGTGAAGGTGAGTGAGGTTAGTGAAGGTGAGTGAGGTTGTGAGGTTAGTGAAGGTGAGTGAGGCTGTGAGGTTAGTGAAGGGGAGTGAGGTTATGAAGTTAGTGAAGGTGAGTGAGGTTAGTGAAGGTGAGTGTGGCTAGTGAAGGTGAGTGAGGTTAGTGAAGGTGAATGAGGTTAGTGAAGGTGAGTGAGGTTAGTGAAGATGAGTGATGTTAGTGAAGGTGAGTGAGGTTGTGAAGTTAGTGAAGTGAGTGAGGTTGCATAGTTAGTGAAGGTGAGTGAGGTTAGTTGAGGTGAATCAGGTTGTGAGGTAAGTGAAGGTGAGTGAGGTTGTGAGGTTAGTGAAGGTGAGTGAAGGTGAGTGAGGTTGTGAAGGTGAGTGAGGTTGTGAGGTTAGTGAAGGTGAGTGAGGTTGTGAGGTTAGTGGAGGTGAGTAAGGTTGTGAGGTTAGGAAGGTGAGTGAGGTTGTGAGGGTAGTGAAAGGGGAGTGAGGTTGTGAGGTTAAGTGAAGTGAGTCAGGTTGCGAGGTTAGTGAAGGTGAGTGAGGGTAATGAATGAGGTTGTTTAGGTTAGTGAAGGTGAGTGGGTTAGTGAGGTGAGTGAGGGTAGTGAGTGAGGTTGTGAGGTTAGTGAAGGTGAGGGAGGTTGTGAGGCTAGTGGAGGTGAGTGAGGTTGATGAAGGTGAGTGAGGTTAGTGAAAAACGAAGGAGGGAAGTAAGTGAGGTTGTGAGGTTAGTGAAGGTGAGTGAGGTTAGTGAAAGTGAGTGAGGGTAGTGAGTGAGGTTGTGAGGTTAGTGAAGGTGAGTGAGGTTAGTGAAAGTGATTGAGGTAGTGAGGTTTAGTGTAGGGAGTGAAGGTTAGTGAAGTGAGTGAGAGTAGTGAGTGAGGTTAGTGAAGGTGAGTGAGGTTAGTTAAAGTGAGTGAGGGTAGTGAGGTTAGTGAAGGTGAGTGAGGGTTTTGAGGTGAGTGGAGGTTTAGTGAGGTTGTGAGGGTAGTGAAGGTGAGTGAGGTTGTGAGGTTAGTGAAGGGGAGTGAGGGTTGTGATGTTAGTGAAGGGAGTGAGGTTGTGAGGTTAGTGAAGGGGAGTGAGGGTAATGAGTGAGGTTTGAGGTTAGTGAAGGGGAGTGAGGTTAGTGAAGGCGAGTGAGGTTAGTGAAGGTGATGAGGGAGTGAGTGAGGTTGTGAGGGTAGTGAAGGTGAGTGAGGTTGTGAGGTTAGTGGAGGTGAGTGAGGTTGTGAAGGTGAGTGGGGGGTTAGTGAAAACGAGTGAGGGTAGGAGTGAGGTTGTGAGGTTAGTGAAGATGAGTGAGGGTAGTGAGTGAGGTTGTGAGGTTAGTGAAAAGGGGAGTGAGGTTGTGAGGTTTAGTGGGGGTGAGTGAGGTTGGTGAAGGTGAGTGAGGTTAGTGAAAGCGAGTGAGGGTAGTGAGTGAGGTTGTGAGGTTAGTGAAGGTGAGCGAGGCTAGTGAAAGTGAGTGGGGGGTAGTGAGTGAGGTTGTGAGGGTTAGCGAAGGTGAGTGAGGTTCTAGGTTAGTAGAAGGTGAGTGAAGGTAGTAGTGAAATTGTGAGGTTAGCGAAGGTGAGTGAGGTTTGTGAGGTTAGTGAAGAGAGAAGGTAGTGATGGGTTTTGAGGTTAGTGAAGGTGAGTGTGTTGATGGTTGTGAGGTTAGTGAAGTGAGTGAGGTAGTGAAATGAGGTTTTGAGGTTAGTGAAGTGATAAGGTAGTTTAGTGGAGGTTGTGGGTTGGAAGGGAGTGGGGGAGTGAAAGGTTGTGTGAGGTTTAGGGGAGTGAAAAATTGGTGAGGTTTAGTGAAGGGAGTGAAGGTAGTGAGTGAAAGGGTTTTGAGTTAGTTAAGTATGAAGGTAGTAGTGAGGTTGTGAGGTTAGGAAGGTGATGAAGTAGTGAAGTGAGGTTGTGAGGTTAGTGAAGGAGTGAAGTGTGAGTTAGGTTGTGTTAGAGTAGTGGTGGATGAGTTGTGAGGTTAAATGAAGGTTAGTGAAAGTGGTAGGTTGTGAGGGTTTGCGGAAGGGGTGAGGGGTAGTGATGAGGTTTGTGAGGTTAGTGAAGGTGAGTGAAGGTAAGAGGAGTTTGGGTTAGTGAAGGAGTGAGGTAGGATGAGGTTTTGAGGTAGTGAAGGTGATGAAGGTATGAGTGGGTTGTGAGGTTAGTGAAGGGAGGAGGTAGTGAGTGGGTTGTGAGGTTATGAAGGTGAGTGAAGTAGTGAGTGAGGTTGTGAAGTTAGGAAGTGATGGAGGTAGTGAATGAGTTGTGGTTAGTGAGGTAGTGAAGGTAGTGATGAGGTTGTGAGGTTTAGTGAAGTGAGTTGAAGGTAGTGAGTGAGGTTGTGAGGGTTTTGTGAAGGTGAGTGAAGGTAGGAGTGAGGTTTTGAGTAGTGAAGTGATGAAGGTAGTTGGTGAGGTTTGGGGGTTATTTAAGTGAGTGAAGGAGTGGTGAGTTGTAGGGAGGAAGGTGAGTGAAGGTGTGGTGAGTTGTGGGGTTTGGAAGGTGAATTGAAGGTAGTGATGAGGTGTGAGGTTAGTGGAAAGGGATGAAGGTAGTGAATTGAGGTTTAGTGGGTTAGTGAGTGAAGTAATGTGAGTGAGGTTTGGGTTAGTGAAGGTGAGTGAGTAAATGAGGTGAGGTTGTGAGGTTGTGAAGGTGAGTTTAAGGAGGTGAGTGGTTGGAGGTTAGTGAAGGTGAGTGAAGGTAGTGAGTGGGTTTTGGGTTAGTGAAGGTGAGTGAAGGTTGGTGAGGGTGAGGTTAGTAAGGTGGTGAAGGTGGAGTGTGGTTGTGGGTTAGGAGGTGAGTGAAGTGGTGAGTGGGGTTGTGGGTTAGTGAGGTAGTGAGGTAGTGGTGTGGTTGTGAGGTTAGTGAAGGTGAGTGAAGGTAGTGAGTGAGGTTGTGAGGTTAGTGAAGGTGAGTGAAGGTAGTGAGTGAGGTTGTGAGGTTAGTGAAGGTGAGTGAAGGTAGTGAGTGAGGTTGTGAGGTTAGTGAAGGTGAGTGAGGTAGGGTGAGGTTTGAGGTTATGAAGGTGAGTGAAGGTTGTGAGGTTGTGGGTTATGAAGGTGAGTAGGTAGTGAGTGAGGTTGTAGGTTATGAAGTGATGAATGTGAGTTGAGGTTTGAGGTTAGTGAGAAGTGAAGTTTGTGATAGTTGTGAGGTTAGGAAGTGAGTGAAGGTAGTGAGTGAGGTTTGAGGTTTATGAAGGTAGTTGAAGTATGGTGAGTTGTAGGTTAGTGAAGTGAGTGAAGGTAGTGAGTGAGGTTGTGAGTTAAATGAAGGTATGAAGGTAGAGTGAGGTGTGAGTTAGTGAAGGTGAGTGAAGGAGTGAGTGAGGTAAGTTAATTTAGTGATGAAGGTAGTATAATGTAGGTTATGTAGTTGTGAAGGGTTAGGAGTGAGGTTTAGGGTTTATGAAAGGGGTTTAAGGAAGTGAGTAAGGTTGGGTAAGTGATGATTGGGTATAGTGTTTGAGTTGGACTAGTGAAGCGAT